ACCTATGCAAACGACAAGCATGATGGTACGTTCTCTTCACTTTTATTAGTAGTATCGTCCTCGATCATTCAAGATTGAAAAGAAGTGTTTTGAAATTACTCTGTTTCAGCCTGAGCAAACACAGTATCCCGCATATCCTCCCATTAACCAGACTGGCCACGCCCATCTCGCACCGCAATTCGCTCACGATGTAGGTACCATAGGGTTGCCCTTGAGCTTATTTTTTATCGGAATTTTTCCATATATTGTGTTTTAGCGAACGATGTCAGCTGATAGCGGAGCAGTTGCAGACTCCAACATGGATGTCGACTATACCTCTCCACTTGGATTGTTGGACCCTGGTGCCATTGCGGTTTGTTGTTACAAAGATTAGCTGGAAGTATCGAATAGTTGATCTGCACTAGTGTTTTCTAACACCTGGAAACTACGAATCTCTCGGAACAGAGAAGAGGTTTAATTGACACTCCAAAAGATGAAATATTACCCTTCGTGGTTAATCTGTTGGGTACTTTAGGTATCTCTAGACGTTCTTTTTTTGTACTTCGTTTTTAGGCGATGCGTTAGTTTAAAGAAATATGAGAAATTTCCTGAGCGCTTCAATTGTATTTCAAAGATTGAGTTCAAGATTGTAGTTTATTCGTTTTTTGTGTTTTACTGTGTGATACGTATACAGCTAAGTAATGTTCAGCACTGCTAGATCACTCACTACAGAGCACTGTTTGTGCGGGAGAAACATGAAATCCATGAAGCATTTTTCAGGACATAAATCCACATGAATTCGACAAATACCTTCAACTTTCCTCTCATCGAGGCTCGGCAACCGTCGGCAGATACCAATAACCGGATTGCAATGAGTGAAGTTGTGGCAAGACGTCATTTTTACAGTTGTCTACCGTAACTGTCGTCAGATTTTACCATCTGTTATCGTGCCGATGTGATATGCGCATGTACCATTTGCCTCAGTTGCAGTGAGGTAAATTGATCAATTGAGGACAACTCGTCCACGCCGTCGAATTAAACGCGCTGCATTTCATGCAAGCCGCCAAGAAATTCGTTGATTGCTATATGTGATAGATACTTCATAACTACACGAAACGATAGTGAAAATGTGTACGTGTTGGAAACAGTTGCTATGTCTAACATAGAGTTATAGAGTTCTAGATATAATCCACAGAAATCGAGTGTGATTTTTGCCTAACTGATGTGTGGGTTAGGCTAATGTGCTTCTGAGTAGTACGGTCTACATTCATATTGCATTCTTATTTA